CAGCCTCCTGCCGCTTGCCCGCAGCGCCGTCCATGAGGGCTACCACGAGGCCATGCTGGGCACGCTGGATGAGGGTGAGCTGGACTTGCGCAAGCTGTCCCCCCATGTCTCTGGGTATTGGGGCTATTTGGTGCTCCCCAGCCCCTCAAATAGCGCCCCCCCATTGCAAGAACCTGAGGGATGCACCCCCAGGGCTTCCGACAAGCCAGGGTGGGTGCAAGCCATGCGAGTCCCTCTCCCCTGCAGCTGGCAGAAGTGAGCTAGTTCGGGGTGACCTGCAGCCTGGCTATGGCTTTGCAGCTTCCTTTTGTTTTCTAGTTGCCTCCACGGCTGGTGATGCTGGCATCGCAGCCCGGGCACTCGCCTGCATTGCCGATGTCCTGGGCTGCATGGCGCAAGGGGAAGGGGGCTTGCGGAGCGGGCCCGCTGCCAACAGCGAATGGGCCTCGGCTTTCAGGTGCCTGGAGAGTGGGGACATTGCTGGTGGTGTCCGTGAACTGGCCGCTGAGCGGCAGAAGTGGATGAGCAGGTGGGGCTGGGGCTGGTGAGCAGCCGCTGCCCCCTCCCAGGCAGTGGCGCTCGGGGAGCTGCGGCAGTGGGCTCAGCACCTCTCTTTTCCCAGGCCAGTTCTGCTGGTGAGAGCGGCTCGGCATTACGAGGGGGCCGAGCAGATCCTCATCCGTCAGGCAGTGATGTCCTCGTGCCAGTTTGTCACCGTGGGGCAGGCGGAGCTGCCACCCTTGGGGCACTGGGTGCAGGTGGTGTGTCCAGCCCGCCTGGACCTCTCTGGTGAGTGCATACCCCCAGCCAGATGATCCATGTCTCACCCCCGTGATGTTGGGGGAGAAGAAGTTGGGGCACCATGGGGAGCTGACAGTGAGCTTTCGGCAGGTGGCTGGAGCGACACCCCCCCCATCACGTACGAGCACGGCGGGGCTGTGGTGGACGTGGCGGTGCTGGTGGATGGGGCGGTGGTGGAGCTGGTGTGCCGGGAGCTGGAGCACTTGCAGGATTACTGCCAGCCACACGCGCCGGGTGAGGCGTCACCAGCCGCACAGCCTGGCTTCCTACCCCCAATGTCTCCTCGGTGTCCTGACCCCATGGTGGCCCTTTTTGGAGATGATAGGGTGAGGCATCAGCTTTTCTTTGTTCCTTTGTTTCCAGGAGCCTTGCTCAAAGCTGCCTTTATCTGCACCCAGGTTGTGCAGTTCCCCTCGCAGAAACCCCTGCGGGCCCAGCTGATGGAGAGCTTCGGGGGTGGGTTTGAGGTGCACACCTGGTCCAAGCTGCCCCATGGGTCTGGCCTTGGTAAGTCTGCAGGGAAAGGGCTGGGGAGTCCCTCCCTGGGGCCGGGGATCCCTCCAGGTTTTGGACTGGGATGGGGCATCTCCCTTGCTGCCCTGCAGCTGGGAGCCTGATCCTGGCTCTCATGGGCATGTGCAGTGCCTCACTGCCCTGGCCCTATCTGTGCTCCCTGCAGGCACCAGCAGCATCCTGGCGGGAGCGGTGATGGCATCACTGTACCGGGCGACTGGGAAGGCTGCCAGCACCGAGTCCCTCATCCATGCCGTGCTGCACCTGGAGCAGAGGCTCACAACAGGTAGTGGCCATGGGGAGCAGCCAGCCTGCAGAGCAGGGAGCCCGGCGGTGGCTGAGGACCCTCTGCCCTGCAGGTGGCGGTTGGCAGGACCAGGTCGGTGGGCTGGTGCCCGGCATCAAAATCGGGAGGTCGAAGGCCCAACTGCCGCTCAGGGTGGAGGTGGAGAAGATCCCGGTGCCCGACGGTTTTACCCAGACCCTCAACGATCACTTGCTGCTGGTGTACACAGGGAAGACTCGCCTGGCCCGCAACCTGCTCCAGGTAATGCCTGGGTGCCACAGGCTCTGGCCTCAGCTCCCCCCACGGCTTTTGGTGTCTGTCCTCTTCGCCGGCACAGAGCTTTGCCACCCCGATGGGAGCTGGCACCAAAGGCTGCGGGTGCAGCGCTACCTCTCTGGGTGCTGCTGGAGCTAGCCGGGTGGTGACAGAGACATTCTGGCCTTTTGCAGGACGTGGTGAGGAACTGGTACGCCAGGCTGCCCTCCGCTGTGCAAAACGCCAACGTGCTGGTGAGCAACGCCGAGGAGTGTGCCCAGGCCTTGAGGCAAGGTGTGAGCCCCCTTTCCTGGGCTGGGCCAGCCCTTTTAGTGACTGAAGAAACACAAACTTGCCTGGGGAGAGTCTGTGCAGTCCTGGGCGGGGGGGGCAAAGCCTGGGGTGTTGGAGGCTCTTGCAACTGCAGAAGCCTCAAATCCTCCCCCCAGGCCTGGCATATTACTGGCAATGCCCCAAAACTCAGGCTTAAATGAAGACTTGGGGGGAAGGGCAGGGTTAGACACGCTGACTCTGATTGATTTTCCACAAGCCATCCATGATGGGGCTGGGGGCAGTGCCTAGCCTGTGCAGTGGATTCATTAGGCCTCTGGCTGCTGGGATGCTGCGGAGGGGAAGCTGGAACATTAAAGCAAGGAAATTCTCCTTCTGTGGAGGATTAAAAATAAATAGCGACATGACAGGGCTAGGTTTGCTTGCTCGGCAGGCAGAACTGGGGAGAGGAGAAAGCAGAATTTAGCTTGGGCTGAGCAGGAGAGGCAGAGACAGGTTTCTGCCCCTTGGGTAAGAAACAGAGGCAAATCGTTTGCGATATCCTCTCTCCTGCAGGTAACCTGCTGCTCATCGGCAAGTGTCTGGACCGCTACTGGCAGCAGAAAAAATGCATGGCCCCTGGGTGCGAGCCGCTGGCCGTCAGGCGCATGATGGATGCTCTCCGGCCCCATGTCTACGGGCAGTGCTTGGCAGGGGCTGGCGGCGGTGGCTTCCTTTACGTCTTAACCAAAGGCCCTCGGCAGAAAGAGGCTTTGCACCAAATTCTAGCGAAAACCGAGGTGAGATTGTGAGCTCCCGGGCAGTTTCGCTGTTGCGGGCGGCTTGCAGCAGCTTTATACAGCGCAAGCACTAGAAGCATCTCGTCCCACCACAAGTGGGATGAGATGGCTTGTTGTCCCCTCTGCCCTCCCCAGGACCTCAGAGGTGAGAACAGGTCCCTTGCTGGCTCCCACCCCAGCCTGTAACTTTCTTTTTTTTTTTTTTTTTTTTTTTTTTCCTAGGGACTGGGAAACTTCAGCATCCACAGCATCGAAGTGGACATGGGCGGTTTCTCTGTGGAGGTTGTGGGTTGTGAGCCGAAGGACGGTGCTCACCCTGGGAAGGACAGGGCTGTGTGAAGGCCTTCAGGGCAGGGAAGAGCCAGCTGCCTCCCAGAGTGGGGAAATCCCCGCTGCTTTCAAGGCAGCTCCTTCAGCCAGTGCCAGCAGGTGCCTTAGGGCTCAACATGGCCTTTTTGTGCTGCTATTTGCCCCAGAAGCCACAGAGGCTGGAGATGCTGTGACAAGCTGGGCAGGCAGAACTGTCCCTGGAGGGTGACCTTGCTGGAAGGACAGTTTGCTGAGGCCTCCAGGCTGATTTTGGGGTTTCACTCTGGTTTTCCAAAGGGAAAAAGAACAGCATTTGTGATGCTGCCTCTAGCAGGAACCTTCCTGCTCTTCCAGCATCAGAGGCCCACAATGCTCCCGCATTGCAGCTGGATGCGGAATCGAGTCCCTCTCCTGTGCTGAGACTATTTCTGCAGTGCAGTACTAGTCCCTGCCGTCTCTCTGAATAAAAAATCTTGTTCCCAGCATGTGGCTATGCCCCTCTGTCCCCCACAGGATAGCACAGGGTGGAAGAGGAGAAATGGGGCAAAGCTCTGGTCCCACATCCCTCCAGCTCCCTCCGGGCCCGCAGACACACACACGCACAGCGGAGGCTGCTGCTCAGCCAGGCAAGGTTTATTTACAGCATAGCTGTACAGGGTACAGCGAGCCAGCAGGGACACAGCCCTGCTTCCTACAGCAGCTTTTGAGGGAGTTTTTTCCCAACACCCTCCCCAGGAGGAAATAATTCCTTTTCCCTTCTACAGAACAGTCCCCATCACCACCAGGAGAGTGCCAGGCGGGCTCAGGATTTGTAGGATTCCCGTAGCTATCCCCTAAACTGGTGGTACAGACCACAGCTGTGGCCAGCAGCATGGGCAGAGCGCTCTGCAGACCCCCTCTTTGAACCACACCACAACAGCCCCCAGATTTCCTGACCTGTGGCAGGGCAGCAGAACGAAGGGAGGCGGGAGCTAGCCTGAGCTTGTCCCTCAGACTAGCACACGTTTTCAGAAATAGCATCATGCTGCTGTCAACGCGAGATTCCTCTGCTGCCTTGTTTCTGCTCCCACAAAAGGATGGCAGCTCTTCCCAGGAAAAGCCCTTTGCTCCAAGGAACACGAGCAGCAGGGCAGACATCACCGCATCCCCACACTGTCTAACAGCCAGCCCCAGGGCTGCAGCCTTCCAGCTGTTACCTCCAGCATGGTGGTGACCCCAGTATCAACCAACTACAGGCGCAGCCGCTTGATATCCTCACTGCGGAAGTCGATTCGGAGAGCCAGCACCTGCCGGACCTCGGCAGGAGTAAGGCGCCAGGTGAGCGGGCCCGAGTTCGGGCCCCAGTAATCCAGGATCTCCGTCACCTGGAGAAAGAAGGGAGCTGCAGGAGACAATGCAGCACCAACTGCCCTCGCAGGGGAGTTCAAACTCTGGCTGTGGTCATGGTATTTCCTGCCACTAATGCCCACAGCAAACACCTGTCAGGCATGGGGCAAACTTTTCCAGCCTCTCTGTACCCCATAGGCGTGGCAACGTCAGGATGAACCCAGTAAATCCATGTGGAGTCCAGCTGGGGCTCCCACAATCCCCCAATAAAAGCAGACAAAGTGCAGCTCACCCTTTCCAGATTGAGGATGGTGGCCATCTGGGAAAGACGGGCAAACTTGTCGCGGATAGTCCAAGTGGTGACGGTGGTGAGATAGGCTATGAGAGACCTCAGCTCCTTGTCAAACTGCAGGCCGCCAAGCTGTGGGGACCCAGGGAGCTGTTAACTCTCCAAGCAGGCACACGGGTTGTGCCAAATGCACGATAACAAGTTACCAGGGAGCAGGGGAAGGTCTCTGAGCGGGAGGGTTCCAGTTAGACCATTTATTGCAGGTTAAACTGGCTTATGTTCAGACCCTCCTGAAAAGCCAGCCCCCTTATTTGCACAAGCTCTTTGCAGCCCCACCACAAAATACATTTTCTCCCTGTGTGTGGCACTGCGAGGTCTCCCTGAACTGGCCACCAGTGGTGGCAGAGCTTCCCTGAGGGTAACGTTTGCCCCTGCCCTGCCCCGTCCCCTTACTGCCGGTTTCCTGGTGGAGGGTTTGCAGTCTACAGGGTAGAGGACAGGGTTTTGCTTACCCTGCTGAAGGTTGATTTGAGCAGCACTTTCTCCAGTTCGATGGCGATGAGACTGGTCATAAGACCAGTGAGGGTATCATAAATCACTGGAGAAAGCCCAGCCTGGAAGCAGAAACCTGTGTCATTCTTGTCAGGAACAACTTGAGGCAGAGGTCCACAAAAGCCAAGCCTGTGAGAGCCTTCAGATAAAGACCCGTCACTTGCAGGCTCAGCGAGTGGAGAGCACCACAGAAGCAATCCAGGTACATGGGGCTTGCCAGCAGGCTTTGGGAATAACAGGAGAAGGGGGTGACCATGTGTCTGAGAGCCCTGCAAGGCACCGGAGGACATTGCTGTCTGCCGTTCCCCCGAGCAGGGGAAGAGTTGGGAGACACCATGCGGAGGTCTGGCCAAGGCCTGGCAGGCTGCCACATTCCCCCCGCCCCTCCCACCTCACCTTGAACTCTGTCATCTGCTGTTCCAGATTGACGATGAACTGCTGGACCCAGGGATCATTAGCTTCATAGTCGCTGAACTCCTCCTGACATTGAAAGACAAACAGGGTTGTTGACGTGGCCTTGCCCTGAACAGCAGCAAACAGCCCTGAGGACAGGAAGGGAGGCTCCTCCTGGAGCAGCACTGCACCCCTTCCGTTTTCTCAAGCTCCTCTCCAGAAAAATGCCCCTTTCCAGGCTGGACTACAGAGCAAGTTCTGGGTATTTTACTGTTGCTCTGTGCCAAGGAAGCAGCAGAGAACTGAGGGGAACAAGACGGCAGTTGCTCTGACTGCGCTGCGGAGCAGAGGATGGAGAGCACAGAAGCACAGCTAGAAGCAGAGGATGCTGAGCCTTACCTCCTCGATGTTGTGGGAGACAGAAAGGAAGAGGTTGATCCAGGGCTTCACCTGGGGTTTGATGGCTGTGCTGTTCAGCTCGTTGAGGCCTTCCTGAGGGGGACAGGAAGAAGAGAGGAGAGTGACTGGGCACAGCCAACGTCCAACTGGTGCACAACCTTTGCATTGGCTGTCTTGATGCTGCCTCCCATCCTCACTGCAAGCTGGGGAAACCGACCCACAGACTTGGGCAGGAATCTGAACCCCGGAGTCCCAGATCCCACACTGAAGTGCTGGAGGGCTTGGAGGAGACCACAATGACAAGAAGAGGAAGGACACTGGCCCAGAAGCTGCTGTTGTGCTGACTTGGGAGCCCAGTCTGAAGGGGTGGTGCTTCCCCTACTCCTGCCCACACAGCTACAGAGGTTTCCTGGCAGGACAGAGGGGTGCAGTTCACATCCCACCAGGGTGGGAAAGGACACAAACACCAACTGTTCCACTCAACACCAGCCAGGAGGATGCTGTGATTGGACTCAGCTGATGCCTTACACCTCCAGTGCAGCTTAGCTCAGTAGGAGAAGCTAAAAGGAGGATAAAAGCCATAACTGCAGTCAGTTCCCTGAATTAATCATAACCCCAGCACACGCCATCTCCCCTGAGCAGCAGGTTGTCAGCAAAGGCTGTTCTGTCCGCTTCGGTGCTAGAGAGCTCTCTGAAAGCCCTCTCCTGCCAGCCACCTCCATTTGGCTCAGCAAGATGTCAAGAAAGCTCACCCAGCGTGAAATTGTTCAGGTACCGATACTGCCTGGCATTTGATGGAAGTTTTTAACTAAAATTGGCATTTCTGAGGAGGCCCTGCTGGCAATTGTCCTTTCCAAGGCAAATTCAATGTGCGTGTGACTCAGGCAGCACAGGAGCTTGCTGCTCAGCTTCTTGATTGCTTTGCAGCCAGTTTTAATACTGCACTAGAGCTAGACTGGAGCATTTTACTCCTTTCTGATGAGCTCTTTGGTTTCAGTAGGGACCACACGCCCCAAGAGGGTTTGCTGGCAATACCCATCTGAAGGCAGCTGGCTGCAGTGAACTGCAAAGCCAAATGACAAATAGCCTGTCCCCTCTGCGAAGTACAAAGCCAATGGCAAACCTGGTTCAAAATATTCTCTTTTGCTTGGTTTCTTTCCACAGACGGTATTAGGTCTTCCTGCTCCTCTCCCTGCCAGAGACGACGGTGAAATTTTAAGACAGCACGTCCTAAAGAAATTTAGGCCCCGGCATGCCCCATGAGACAGTGGATTTAGCCAGAGAGCCTTCTGCCCCATGCCGGGGAGTATTTCCATTTGGGAAAGGAGGAGAAACCTGAGAGAAGAGCAGCTCCTCTCGACCAATAGCCTGTCTTCAGGGTTACCTACTGAGGCTCTGGACAACTTGACAACATGCCTTGCCATGAGGGAGAATGGAGGAGATGGAAATGCTATTAATATTTCTCCTCCTAAAAATGCTGAACCAACTACAACTCTGTGCTGAGTGAAGATAAATGGAGCAACCTTCCTTCTGGCTCTGCAGCTGCTTCCAGTGCTTTTTACGCAGCTGCCAGCTGGTGCAGCTGTGCAAATGGGCTGGATCTGTTTCCATGCCTCAAAGCTGACTGATTTACTCCCTCCTGCACTCTCACCCAGCACTCCTGGAGTCAGATGTGGCCCAGGCCTTGGGCTGAAATGGTTCCTGCCTGAGCTCTCCCCGAAGACACTGCCAGTCAGAGTTGGGGGCCAGTAACAGCAAGACACTCACCTGCAGCAGGTCACGAAATTTGTTGGAGACGGCAGCCATGTCGGAGAGGCAGCTGTCAATCTTGGCCTGCGCTTGCTCGCCCCCGAAGCCTTGGCTAAGCAGTTTGCTGCAGTCACTCTGCAGGGAAGAGATCCACGAGCAAGTTGCAAATTAATAACCCGGAGAGTTTCTATCCCTTCATGTTGTGAGCTCCGGCTGCCCACCAGCACGCTTGCAGGCTAGGACAGGCGCCAGGCTCCTGCCCCTGTGAAGACAGAGGCTGCTGGCTCCAGCTGGGGAGAGGACAGCAAGAAAGGATGCCAGGGGCTATCTAGTCCAGCACCAGAGAACCACAGCTTCTCAATGATGCACATTTTATTCCACTGACTCCCATCCTGTGCCAGGTTGGTCAAGCTGGAGGAACAGGTATTTCCCGCTGTAGTAGTTGGGGATTGCTCTCCCAGCTCAAAGTTGCTTTCCTAAGGCTGGAAGGCAAAGACCTCAGGAATTTGGGCATAGCAAAGTCCGGATGGTTTACTGGACACCCCCCCCCAAGGGAGGATATTACAAATTTGATTAAGGAAAAACCAGTAAAGAATCCAGACCACACCTCCAAAGTCTTCTTTAGGGTCATGATGTTTTCGCTGCAGACTTCCACGTTGTTTAAGGTCACCTGAAAACAACAAAACAAACCCAAGTAGAATTCATTGGAATTTCCCAGCACCTCAGCCCCAAGTCCAGCCATTTACTCCATGCCCTGCTCGCAGTACGGGCTGAAATGCAAATATTTAAGGGACAGAGTTGCTACCGTGTGATCAAAGCATTGCAGATTCATGGAGCTGCACGAAGCTGAACAGTAGCTGAGCATGTGTGCTGAACCTGCAGCTGGCACAAAGTTTGAGATTGTTTACTCCTTTTCCTCATAATTTTGTCCACGATGTTGCAGCAAAGCCCCGCTTGCACGTAACTGGCAGAAGACAGGAGGTACCCCCAAGCTTTCTGTGGCAGTGTCACGAAGAACACCAGACCAGGAGTGGCTGGGGGCGATGGGTTATACACTGTGTCCAGAGAAGCAGGGGGGCAGGAAGGCATTCATACCTAGGCAGGAGGAATCAGCACTCCCCCTGCCAGACGAGTATCTGCTCTTCACTGAACAGACTGTTCTCTACCTGCTGAAGCTGAACTAAATGTCAGTATAAGGCCGGGGTTTGTGCAGACAGGGAAATGAGGCAAGCTGACAGGTAAATGAGGAATTCCAGTGGGAGAACTGACATTTTAAGCACTTTGCTTCAAGAAATGCAGGCACCTTTAACCAAGAATTTAATGAAACGGAAGAGTTCAGGCCCTCCTGCTCCCCTTTGTCGCCTTCTCTCCTTGTACACCAAAAGTCCCAAGGAACCTCTTCAGCGCTGGGTGTTCATGGCAACGTAGAGAGGGAGACAAGTTGGGGTGAGCCAGCCCCTCTCCAGCGCTCTCAGCATCTTTGCCCACAGGTCTGCTCAAACAGCAGGGCTGGCTGAGACAAGAGAGCAGATCCAGGGCTGCTCTCCCAGTCAGGTCTTTTCCACAATGCAAGGTCTATACAGCATCCCACCATGGGGAAGGACGGGTTATGCTGCAGAAGACAGGAGCAGCAGCCCTTCAAATGCTCTCCAAGGGGTCTCTAAGGCTCGCTGCCCTGTTCTGGCCTGCTCAAGCATGCAGAGAGTTGCAGTGCTGCTGTCGAGAGAAGACAACAGGCCAAGCGAGCAGACAGCTCTGCTCTAATAGAAACCCTCTGATCTGGTAAGGGAAAATGAAGGAGCCCTGAGCTTGGGCCAGGAAAGTTTCTCATTGAGAGGAAGGGGCAGATGAGATGCTCTCCCACCACCTTTGTGCAGAGCCTGTGAAGAATAGGATTGAGGGATGCCTCAAAAGAGCACAGGCTCTGTCCCAGCCTGGAGGGAATCACCACTGCAGCAGCCTAAGAGGCAGTCACAGGATCATACTTGGACAGGCCCGCTGTGGAAGCCCTACAGACATGAGGTGAGGTAGAAGCATCTACCAGACATCCAAAGTTAGGCCACCTGCCATGCCTGAACAGGTTTTGCAGCTCTCTGAACATGTGATAGTCGCATCAATCCTGTTTTCAAGAGCTCCCCGTTGTCTTTCCCCCCACCCCAAATCATTCTGCACCAGAACAGCCACCAAACCCACCAGAAAGGACTGCTTGGCCTCATCAGTGCTTTCAATGCCTTTGGTATCGAACTTGCCCTGCTGCAGGCTGCTGTGCATGATGTTCACCGCACTGGTCACCCCTCTCTGGAAGTCCTGGAAGGTCGTGGCCGGAAAGCCCTGCTTCAGCTTGTTGTACAAAACCTCCCTGTGGAGCAAGCAGAACATACTAGGGCTTAGAGCAAAGCCACAGCAGTTACACTCTGTGACAGGGAACAGCACTCTGGCTGAGCTGTGATCTGAACAAGGTAAGTAAGTGGAACTTCACGGGGACAAAAGAGGGCTGGCAAATATCTCCTGACAGCATCTAAAGGACTGAAAGAAAAACACAACCAACCCGTTTCTGAGCTTTCCCAAAAATCCTGCCTGCAGCTGTCTGCTGTCTTCAGTCACAGTTCCCCACTCCCACGTTGGGATGAAAAACAGGAGCAGGAAAATTTCTGCAGGCTTGCCCCAAGTTCAAGTTACAAAGCAATCTTACAGGCAGCCCAGAGATAATTAGGGGTGACAGCGTACCATCAAGCAAGGTAGCGCTCCAATGCTACGTGGTGACTCGGTCTCATAGGAATTTTGGGCCACGAGGTTCCTTTTTCTATTTGTCCTACAGGTGACCACCACTACTGTGAGAAAAGCACACCCAGCTCCAGCTTCCCACACCATGCCTGACACTGCTTCCTATGAGCATCTTCTGTGGAGAGGATAAACCCGAGGTTTAAAGGCGAAGAGCACAAGGAAGACCGTCTGACTGTCTGCAGAACATGAGGTGGAGGCAAGTTACAATGAACTTGGTGTATTTTCATTACCTGAAGTCAGACTCCAGCTCGGTGGTGGAGTGGTTGATCATGGCACAGAGACAGTCTATGCTGGAGCTGGACAGAGCACGCCCAATGCATTTCTTCACTATGTAAAACACGTCATCCACCATGCTGGAGATGAGCTGGCCCTTCTCGTAGCTGTCCATGGCAACAGCCTACAAAGAAAGCAGTCTGAGTGCCCTGAGCTCAGCGAGAGAAGGTGGCCTCTCAGAGCAGTGTTGTGAGACCAAACTGCCAGCCAGCCCACTTCACCCTGAGCTGAGCTGTACCATGTGTGGGCTGGCACCACTCATCCTAGTTTTTGGTAGCCCATAGACCTAGAAGATCTGGCTCTGGAAGATGACTCAGGGGTATGTTTGGAGTCAAAGTTCAGAAATGACCTGTCATGATTTAAGCCCAGCTGGCAACTCAGCACCACACAGGTCGCTCCCTGCCAGTGGAATGGGGGAGAGAATCAGAAGGGTAAAAGCAAGAAAACTCGTGGACTGAGATAAAGGAAGTTTAATGGCTAACGCAAAAGCTGCACATGCAAGCAAAGCAAAACAAGGAATTCATTCCCTGCTTCCCACTGGCAGGCAGGTGCTCAGCCATCTCCAGGACAGCCAGGCTCCATCACACGTAACAGTGACTTGGGAAGACAAATGCCACCACTCCAAATGTCTCCCCCTTTCCTCCTTCTTCCCCCAGCTGTATATGCTGAGCATGATGTCATACGGTGTGGAATATCCCTTTGGTCATTTGGGGTCATCTGACCTGGCTGTGTCGTCCCCCCCAGCTCCTTGTGCCCCCCAGCCTGCTTCAGAATATCCCTTTGGTCATTTGGGGTCATGTGACCTGGCTGTGTCCCCCCCCCAGCTCCTTGTGCCCCCCAGCCTGCTTCCTACTGGTCTGGGGTGAAAGGCAGAAAAGGCCTTGGCTCTATGTAAGCCCTGCTCAGCAGTAACGAAAACATCCCTGTGTTATCAACGTTGATTCCAGCACAAATCCAAAACGTAGCCCCGTACTAGCTACTATGAAGAAAATTAACTCTACCGCAGCCAAAACCAGCAGGCAACTATTTGCTTTTCAAAGCCAAAGGAAACAAAAGCCCTTCCCAACAGCTGCAGACCTGCCATGTACTCATCTGCCACCCTCAGGATGCTCAGCAGGGCACTGTGGAGCACACGCAGAGGTCTGAGCTGCTGGCAGAGAGCGTAGGCTATTGCAAGCAGCAGTCTGAGCCCTACCTTGTTGACTGTCTCCCTCATGAAGTATTCCTCCATGGTGATGTAGTAGCCAATGAGCTCTTGCATGGTGCGGCTCAGCAGACAGTTGTTGAGGAGCTTGTCCAGGTATTTTTGATGCTCTACAGAACACAAAAGAGAATCATCAGCAAGGACCAAGCGTCAGAAAGCAGCTCCACTGGGTCCCCTTGCTGCCTGTCTCATGGCCACCCAATGGACACACATCTGCAAAATCCAAGCTGGAATAAGTCACGGGTCTCAACCACGGAGCTGAAATTGCTGACTTTTGCAGGTGACAAAAGTGATTTCCAGAGCTCCATGGAGTACCAAAACCTTGAGCCTGTTTTCCCTGTGGCCTCTGCCTTTAGGATCTGTGCCAAAGGGCCCTCCCTCTCTTTGGGGACCATGTTTATTATGCTCTGCAGTCATTCCTAATGTTGGCTTCCCTGTTAGAAGGAACAACCAGTGCTGAAAACAGGTTTGGGGAGGCCAGGCTATACAATCCTCTTCCACAGAGTGCTCCCAAAGCGTCTCTGCAGACCCTGTGCCACTCTGCTCTGCCACTAACTCAGTTAAATCTCCATTTCTGGCTGCAAGGAGCAGAGAGCCTGCAAGTATTGGTATTCAAGGTGTTACCTTGCTTTACCTCCTCTGAGGCCATGGAGTCTCCCACCTCAAAATCCGATATTATTCGTCTCTTGATGAACCTCAAGTAGAGCTCGCTGCGGGCATTCATCAGAGTGACTTCTGTTAAAATAGGGTCAAGTTCCCTGGAATGAACATAGCAGGAATCAAGGTAGCAAGACTAGAAAAGGAGAGGCACTAATTTAACTCGGTTAAGTAGTATGTTCTTTTTTCTCTTCCTACGAGATCAATACTGCCCCTTTCCATCTGTGCCGTCAAGTGGCAAAGCTCAGCAGAATGACTGGTAGGTGCAAAGAATGCACATACAATCAAAATGGCCTGAAAAAAGTGATTACAGAGAAGCTTCTTTTTCCCTCATGGATGTGAGAACCACCACGTTAAAATCACAGCAGTACAGACTGCAAGACTCTAACCAACCTGATATAACTTCAAAATGAGCCCTGTTTTGAGCGGGAGGTTGGACTAGAGACCTTCGGCAGTCCTCTCCTACCTCAGTTTTGCTATGATTCTGTGAGCCCTACGTGGCCAATGTTAGAAATGCTTGGCCCCTCCCATCTCCATCTTTGTGCTTTTGTGCACAGATTCATGTGTTTCTCTGAAAATTATAAAGAATCTGTTAAAGCTCAACAGCTCAGGAAACGTGAGAGCAAAAAAGCATGTGCCAATGTGTTCAGATCGGAGAGGACTATGAAAAAAAAACAAACCTGTCACATCAGCAGCTTTTTTTGTCAGCGTGCACGAAAGAACTTTATAAATGCTGCTCAAAGCCTCACAACACACGAGTGGGACAAGGAACTGTTATCTTTATTTTACAGACGAAAAAGTAAAAGCTCAGAAAACCTGGCATGCATGCAGAGTTACTCAGAGCAAACAGTGCATGGATTTCTGTATTATGGCTGCAACAATTAGTCATGCAGGCTCACAGACAGATCTCGCTTGAGGAACGTCATGTCTGGAAGTCACGTAATGCCAGAAGGGCTGGGTGCACTTTCAAATGCCCTTACTTAAGGGCAATGAAAGGACTTAAGAAGAAAAGGAGGGAGATTGAAAGCATTTTGATTCATTAGCAAGAAACTGATGTTACAGAGTTGCTGCAGCAGCAGTACAGATTAAGTAAGACCCAAAGATTTATTGCTGATTCTGTCACAAATTATCTGCCTTGGGAGCTGCTCCATTTCATGGGCTCCGAGGACCATACTCTGACCATCAAAAGGTAGTGGGCACAGGCAATTAAAGTCTCAGTCCTTCATGTGCAGTGATATTGCCATCCCTCCAGCACTGTTTAGGGCCAAGGCTTAAAAGTAACGAGTAAGCAAAATAAAGCACCACTACAGAAGCTGCCTTTATAATAAAGGGCAGTGAAGGGCACCTACCAATTGGATTTTATGCTTTAGTAGCCACAAAGCCTCTGGAAGACCGGGAGTTATCTAAATGCTAAGTAGCGTTAATAACAGCTCAAGAGTGGAAGGTTAGAGAGCAAAAAGACGTTTTGTTTGTACCTTGGTTCGATCTTCTCTGCAGAAGAACTTCTCATCATGCTATTCTGAACTTGCTGGAACTGCAATCACAAAAAAAAAAGGGGAGGTTTCTGCCGATGATTTAGAGTTAATAGACACTTCTTGTGCTGTAGCCTAAGGAGGTGCTTACTTAGGGGGGTGATGCCCCTAAGGAATGCTTTGCAGGTAGCACTGCCAGAGAAGGGAACTGCATCAGTTCACCTCCTCCTTCAAGACAGAGCTCGGCCTGCCAGGAAGGGAGGTGGGATGGGAACTCCAACAGAGGCACCAAGGTATGCGACCATGAGACAAGTTACGGCAGCCCTGCATCTAACAGACAGAAGCAGGACCAAGGCAGCAGGAAAGGTGTACTTAAAGCGCCCTACAGACCTGCAGAGTAGAGTCCTGTGCCCAGGGTCCATTTACCATGCTCCAAATGAATCCTTTGCTGCGACAGAAGAGATAGCTACAGGCTGGACCCCTTCAGCCATCAGTGCAAATACAGAGTAAAGCAAGGTTTCTCTCAATACACAAAGTCAAACGTTGCCACCTCTGTGGCTGGACGGAGGCTGCAGCTGACTGCGTCAGGCAGTATCACCCCCCTCTTACCTGCCTGTGATAGTCCCTCTCTTTGATGAACTTGTCCACCACTTTCTCCACCTGCCGGTCACACTCCACTTGCAGGTGCTTGATGAGGGTGTAGAGCCTCCCTGGCCCGTAGTAGGTCTCCACAATGGGCTGGTGGGTCTCCACAATGCGAGCGATCCCTGCAGGGAGAGGGGAAGCCCAAGAGAGAGACTCAAGCAGGAGTCCCATCCAGTCTGGACCCAGAGCAGAGCTACACAGGTCTGCAGACAGGACCTAACAAGGGATCATTCTCTCCCAGATAAACAGTTTAGACCGTTCTGCCACTCTCTAGTGCCTGACTGGAGCCCTGTCATTACCACCCTTCATTCCATGGCATCTGCTCTCTGCATATGACACCTTCCATCCTCTCCACTGTTTATTGCAAGGCTGCACTGCAAATCTCCTGGAGTAGAAGCCATCCCTCTACCTGAAGAGAGCTCCTGCCGTGCGATGTGTCAGCTGCCCCAAGGCCCAGCAAGATACAAGGTATGAAGCTTCCACGGGAGAAAGCTGCATGAGCTAAACTTGGCAGGGGACATAACCACCATCCAAATCCAGCCTCAGCTTTCAGCACCTACCAGGTTACAGGAGACGAGCAGTGCTAGGAATATCAGCCTAGGCAAAGCTCTGCTCTTATCTGTCAGGCAGATGCCCAAGAGAGCAAGCGTTAGCGAAGGCAGGACCTCCTTGGAGAAAAAGCTCATCTCCAAGGACATTATCTACCCAAGATTGCTTTCTTCTCACAAACTCTCTAGTCTGAGAATTAGCAACACTCCCCCTCTTTTGATGCTACTGCCATGGCAGCTCTAAGGACCTTCAATAGCAGCAAGGGTGCCAGACTGGGAGAGTGACTTGCCAGTGGTGCAGCCTGGAATTATAGCAGACTTAATAGGGAAGGCAGTTAATCACCACAGGATCTCAATTACTCTCCTGGGTGACATTCCCACAGAGCGTTCATATTGCATTCTCTCCCTTCCCTCTCTGCTTTCAAGCTCCCATGGTCCTCCTTGAAGAGCCAGGCTTGGATACATCATCAGCTGCTCAGTCTTAAGGGATCCAATTTGTTTGCCTGGAGAGCTGCATATCTGAAGAAACCTTCAGGGAATACCCATTTGTTTTGAGGATACAGAGAACAGGAAGAGCCTGATTCCTGGAGGAAGCCAACAAATCCTTTACAAATCCACTTTGTGCCTGCACAAGCTGTACATAGGAAAGTTTGCTTATTGTAATGCTCTCTCCTGGCTGGAAAAAAGTCTGTTAGTTGTGTCCTTGTCCCTCCAGCATGACAATGCCATAGCTCAAAGGGGAAGGAGGTACTTTGTAATCTCCTGGAGCTAAAATTAAAAGCTTAAATTGAATTCAAACTTTAAATTGATGAACAATCTCATCACGGACTATTTTCAATCCATCAGCAAAGAGGAAAGGAAGATTACCTTCAAAGAGGAGTGTCAGGGTGTCCGCAAATATGACAGCAGCTCGACGGTCACTCATGTCTGTCCCCATTACCAGCTGCAGGTTCTCTTCTGCCTTGTTGGCCACCTGTGTGACAACAGCACCAGTCAGCTGGAAACACTCAAAGATATTCTTCGTCCCATAGGGTGGTCGTCTGTCCCTTGCCCTGTAGAGCTTTTGCTGGCCTTCCCATTGCAAGAGCTACTCTGTTGTTCCTCCTTTGATCACAGATCCTTTTCTCTCTTGTGAAAAATTCAAGGATCAAGGAGAGGCAGAAACTTGTTCTTCTCTTTCCACGCTCACTTGTATGGGTTTTAAGCAAGCACAAAGAGCAAGACACAGAAGGAGAAGCCAGCCAGCCTGCGGGATCTGTATTCAGACACTAAAAAGCCTATCCCAGGACACAAAATGCAGGGAGAGAGATGAACTAAGGCCAGTGCTGGTTTCTAAGATTGACAAGCCAGAGCCAAGATCTCCTTCTGCAACATCTGTTGACAGAGGCTGGGTTTTGCTTTCCCCTAGGAGACCAGGCAGCTCACAGTATGTTTCACAGAACCTGTTACCTGCTTGCAGAGGTACTCTGAGAACTTGCTCAGCCCCTCTTCATGTAAGCCTAGCAGAGGAAAGATCTTGAAGAAGCGTTCCACCTGGGGCAGGTCTCCCTGCTTCATAGCTGTGTCGAATTTCTCTGTGACAATCATCTTCAGGCGCTGCTCTGCTTCTTGCAGGAGCTTCAGGTTGGCATCGATTATGCCCCCTGATCAAAAGGACAGAAAAGAAAGGGAAAAGTGACAGCACAATGTTAGTACTGTACCAAGGGCTACTTTTTTTCCCAGGAGAGAGACCAACACCATGCAACCCTAGGGTAAAAAGGCAGAAGACACACTGGAATTCCCCTACAGGCAAAGAAAGGTACATGTGTGATGTTCACATAGCTAACATCATGGTCTTGCACAGAGGATGCAAACACATCAGCTGGGGCATTTCTTTTAGGGATCAGGCAATTTACACCTTCATTTCCAGTTGCTGTGCTTGGCAGCACACCATAACACTGCAACAGTTCTCCCTGACAGAGCCTTCTCCCTCAGTTCTTTTGTCTTGTACGTTTTGTCCATCACCTACTCAGCACCTGAAATGCTATTAAAGCCATGTGCCAGGAACTCTCCATTCAATTAATGATAATTCAAACCTAATAACGCTTAAAAAACATTCATCTCTATTACTCTGTAACATACTGAGATCTCTGGCTAGCCTTAGATCTTCTGCTTTGTTTATTGAGCTGAGGCTATCTGCCATGGGAAATCACGCAGCCTCTAATTCTCTACTGGAAAGGTGACTTATCCACTTCTCCTCACAAACAGTACTTACCCTCCTTGCCCTGACGACTGAGCTCAATCACCGATTTGTCCAGAGACAGATAGCGATGGATATGAGCTGCTGCTTGTTCATAATCTTCATTTCGCAGCGCTGTTTGAACTCCATCCATGCAGAACTTCAGGTCAAGGATGTCATCGGCTCTCTGAATGGCCTGATAGAGTCGATTCTGCAAGAAAGGCAACCAGTAAGGCTTCCGACTGCGGGCTGGACCAGGGAACGAGAATTATGAGGAGAAGACAGCGTGGAAGGAAGGAAGAAACAGACCAAAGCGATACTTCTCTACATGATTAACAACTACATAAGCAGAAACCCCAAACTACTTAAGAAGTCATTGACTCCAAAAGATGAACAGCGTTTACCTCTCAAAACTCAGACTGAACTCAGAGGCCATGCTCCACTTTAACAAACAGGCAGAGACCAGAGACACAAGCACACAACATCCATTTTGATTTAAGTAGTTGTGTTGGGCAATGGGACTTGACGCCTCTTAGCCTACCTCCGCACAAAGAATATGACAACCCAGATTCCAGACCGCTCTTGGGTGACAATGACCATCTCCTCTTTCCTCAGCGCTGCAACAATTGACAAAACAGTGCTAACGAAGAGTAACCTCAGCTTATTCACCATATTTTACAAGGAGCTGCATGGATAGAAGGGGGATGCTGGAGAACTAGCCGCTATATGGAAAATTATATGCATTATTTACACTCGCACCCTGCAATATCCGGGAGCCCAGCAAGATACCATCACCTAACAAGACTAGAAAATGCTAAAACAAAGAATAAAGCAGTTTCCAGCCCATCTGCCCACTGAAGAAAAGGGCACACTTGTCTACTGTGCTGTGAGCACAGCAGCAGACAGAATATAGCTTGGCGGTGACAATTCCCAAACGCTCCCTCAGTCCAGTTACCTTGGCAAGGTCAAGCTGGCGGACTTTACTGCTGACATTCTCGGCTAGGTTACAGGTGAAGGTGATCATTCCCGCCAACTGCTGGGCATCCCCCTCGATGAGCTGCAAATTAGGGCTGGAAACACAAGCAAAATGAACACAAGCTGCAAATACTAAGTAGCCGGGTGGTCTGCAGCAGCAGGTTGGTTCTTCTAAACCCAAATGCTCCTGTCAGCAACAGCATCTCTCATTTTATGCCCCTCCTACAGGAGCAAAGCACCAAAATCCAACAGCCTGCTTTGGAAGAGGCTGCACAGACTAATGTTTGTCTCGCTACCAGAGAGGGCATGAATGAGCCACTGAGGCTTTACAATAACTCTCTGCTTCTGAAGTGGAATATGAAGTCTGTAAACTTGTGCTCCAAACTTCTACTAGACATGAGGCCACTTAGGATATCTTTCCACACTGGCTGCGCAAGCTCAGCACGAAGAGGCAGTAATATTTATCCACACCTGTAAACAGCCTGACACAAGAGATCTGATCCAAGCATTGATGCTGTCACTCAACAAACTCTGGGAGCGAGACTGTCAAAGAACTGCTCAGCCTACACCAAAATTGGTCTGTCTGTGTGAGGGCGCAGCAGTTAGTGCTGCTGAGAAGAACCGGGCGCCTGGGGATGAGGATCCAACTTCTCTTCCCTAACACAAACTGATTTAAAGTCTAACGTTTTCTGAGAATGAATGCGCTTCCCTTGCAACGCCGAAACAAATTTTCACATCACGCAGTAAGCGGGGAGGTACTGAACAGCGTGCAAGAAGCAGAAGGAGGGGAGAGGGTGGGGATCACTCACCCCATGCGGTGAAGTGCAACCATCTTGTTCTCTACAGTGCTTTGCTGTTCCAGGAGGGCATCCAACTCTTCCTGCACAACTTTCTGAAGGAAAAGGACAAGTTTTGTGTGACTTCAGCTCATCCCCAGGACAGCAACTTATCACAGACCCTCCATCCAAGTCAAGGACACGGAGGTAGCAAGGTGTTAGCGCTTCCAAGAGCTGATATGGCAATTAATCCTTCCTCATCTCTCATTTTAATCCTGTGAACGTTTATATCCATGCCATTCCGAAGCATCAGTTATGCAAACCTCACCGCACAACTTTTAAGTCAGATAACCCACAAACTCCTCTCCTGGCCAAGCCTTCAACGCGCGAGGACTCTGAATCTCGATTCAGGGACCCCCTCGATTCAGGGACCGGAGATGGCACCGTCGCCCCACCGGGCCCGAGGGACCGTTGAGCCCCTATTTAATATCTCTGAAGAGGATCCG